TTTTTTTTTTTTTTTTTGTAAAACAGAAAAAAACTTCTAGAAAAAGGCAACAACAAGCCAGGCAGTGGTGGCTCACACCTTTAATCCCAGCACTTGGGAGGCAGAGGCAGGCGGATTTCTGAGTTCGAGGCCAGCCTGGTCTACAGAGTGAGTTCCAGGACAGCCAGGGTTACACAGAGAAATCCTGTCTCGAAAAACAAAAATAAAATAAAATAAAATAAAATAAAATAAAATAAAATAAAATAAAATAAAATAAAATAAAATAAAATAAAATAGAAAAAGGCAACAACAACACCTCTTAACTTCTGCCCCTCTTTGGGGATGTTTAGCAAAAACATTGTCCCTTTTCTTTGTGTGGTAGGAGGGGGGCTCCACTTCTTGGGCAGTTCTAGGTCTTCTTTGTTTTGCCTCCTGCTCTGCCTCTGAGAATAGGCCTCTGAAGACAGGACTTGCTTTGTGGACAATCCTACAGACTTTCCAGGACTTGCACTCCCCTGTGTTTGGTTCACTGTCTGCTCTCAAGCTGTTGAGGATTCTAACTCAGTCCACCAGGGTCCCTGCTGTGTCATCATGTGAGCTCAAGTGGCCCAGCCTGTTGACTGAGTTGCAGATTTACACATATCCTCATATTACTTCCACTTACACGAGACACACAGTGTTATGGCCTCCATGTAAACTGAGATTTTGATATCTGGGTTTTCCGTACTTGACAGTTATGGAGACATGGGCTGGGACACTGCTGGAAGACCATCAGACTGTATTGCTCATGGCCTTTCATGCCCCTCCCTAAACAAGTAAAAGATGAGATGATACGGATAATTACTTTCCAAATGGCTAGTGGTTTTTAAGCAGCAGCAGAAGTGATTGTGTTGAAATCAATGCAGAGATCAAGGACAGTTCTCTGTACTAATGAGAATAATTCACAGTTGCTATGACTAACACTTGGTTTCTGTGACATTTACTTTCATTCATGGTGATTTCTGGGAAATGAATGGCAACATTCTTATTCCAAAAGAATTGTGAATGTTTTCCCTCAGCTCACTTAACCTGTGCGGACTGTGGTCTATTCACAGGAACAATGGCCCTTACTCAGTGCCTTGTCTAGACCATTAGCATACAAATCAGGGACTGAGCACATTATTTTGTCAGCCCTCATTTGTGAGTTGCATATGTCTTGCCATTACAATGAGCTTCTCACTTTGCAGTGATTACAATAATATAAAGGCAGCCTATGAAGCCATGAAGAACGTGGCCTGCTTGATCAATGAACGCAAGCGCAAGCTGGAGAGCATAGACAAGATCGCCCGCTGGCAGCTGTCCATTGTCGGCTGGGAGGTGAGTGGCACTCACACATGCCCAGTGAGGCTCGAGGCTCCTGCATTCGGACCTAGTGACAGCACACTTTAGCCTCTTGTGGTTGGCACTGTATGTTCTGGCTTTAGTGGAATATTAATTTGTCCATTTGGAGGGATTTTGGTGAATCTAAAAGACAATGACATACAATGCCTATAAAAAAAAATGAAGTCTGAGTGTGAGGGAGCTCAGAGGGTAAAGGTGCCAAACCTAAAGGTGTGAGTTTAATCCCCAGGCCCAGTATGGTCAAAGGAGAGAACTCAACCCTGCGACGTTTCCTGCAGCCTCCACGTGAGCAATCTGACTCAAGAATGAATATGACATACAGTTATGCATACACACTAAATAAGTAAAGGTAATTTTTAAAAGAAACAAGGTCACTAATATATTGCTTAGAGTCTGGTCCTCTCACATGAAGAGCCAGCTCCCACACAGCCGTAGAACACAGTGATAGGAGCATGGGGGACTCAGGTCATGGTGACATCTTTGGATCCTGTATGATCCAAGCAAATTGTCTTTTATTATCTCTAAGTTGAGGAAAATATTACTTCCTAGGCTACATAATCATTATGTAATAGTACAAATAATATGTGCATGTGTGCGTGCACGAGAGTGCACACACACACACAGAGGATGTAGTACCCACCATGTTCACTGCCAATTACATTTATGAACTCAGTGAGTCCTCTCAATGACCTCTAGGCATCACCCATGGGACAGGGAGAAGGCCCTAAAAGGTGTAAGTACCTCCTCCAGGCCCAGGAGTCTAGACCGGTCACCTCTGCACTGCACTGGCAGCTAAGAACAAGCTGGTGCCTTTTAGGTTGTTGCTGAACCAGATAAGGGTCACTGCATCTACCAACTGGTAAGAACTGGCTTTCACAGACTGAGAAGGTGTCGGGTGAGAAGGCAGGAATAGGGCTGAAGTTACTAAGAGCAGAGTCGGCTAAAGAAAAATGCTTTTTCCCAGGAGCCTTGAGCATACCTCCAACATCGCTGTCTGATCCCTTGTTTTTTAAGTGAAGAATCTGGGGCACAGAATTGCTGTAGGAAAGGAAATAGAAGAAATATTTTAGAGTCAAACACTTTTGCCTCCAAAACATTCTGTGTGTTATTGGGATTAAAGGAAAATGAAAATTTTATAAATGAAATCCAGTTTCATACCAGATTTGTTAGGGTGATGTTGACATCCATCCACCCTAGGTATTATAAAGGGGTGCTTGTTTTCCAACCTTAGATTCTAACATTTAGGGGACCATCTCATCAGAATTTACTAAGTTTTACTGGTAGCCTGTCTTTTTGTTTCCAGGACCCTAAGTTAGCTACACCAGAAAGTAGGTAAACACCTGACTCGGGAGCCATAATAGTCAGTAATACCATGTCCCTGTGCAGCAAAACCTCTGATTCTCCTTTACTGCCATGAAGTCAAGTCTTTATTAGCTCCCACTCCAAAAAATGCCTGTATTCCTTTGTTTGTTTGTTTGTTTGTTTATATTTTCTTGGTGTTTGAGGATGTCAGATTCTCTGGAGTTGCAGACAGTTGTGAGCTGCCATGTAGTTGCTGGGAATTGAACTCAGGACCTCTGGAAGGGTAACCAGTGCTCTTAACCACTGAGTCATCTCTGTCAGGGATAGCCCTGCTTATACACTGAAGGCCTAAAGTCAGCCATAGACCTAAAATCAGCAATAGCCCTGACATACATGCCTGCTAACATAAAGCCTTGGGTCTCTGTGGAAAAATACTGAAACAGATGACTAGAAGCTATTGTAAACAAACAGCTTTGGTGGAAAATTGCCAGACTAGTCATAGACCTTGTAGATAGGTAACGTTAGTGAATAATACCAACTTAGATAAGGATAAGTAAATCATAGGCGGAGTCATAGTGATCTGTCTCCTGAACCTTTACCCAGCTGACACTCTATTCTGGAAGATATCTGTACTCCCCCTGAAGACCTACGCTCCTGCATCATCCCCTTCCCCACATCCTGCCTTTTTGTGTATATAACCCATATATAAAAAAAAAGTTAAAATCAAGGTTTGATCAGCCTATAGACAAGCCGCGTTCCTTTGCGTTCGCCCATTTTGTTCTTCCCCATTCTCTCTTAGGTGATCTCCCTGCACCCTGTTTAATGCCCTGCTGGACAGGACACATCTCTCCAGCCTCCAGCGTTTTATTACTTAAACATGAGTTTTTAGATCAGGAAGACACTTTGAACAGGTTACTAGATGTCCTTCTCCGACCTCCACACGCATCACCCTGCCAGGAACAAATATGCCACATGCATATATGCACCAAGAATAAATACGTAGAGATAGGAAATAAGGAGTAGAAAAGAGAGATTTCATGACACGGAACCCATGAAGTCAAAGTCTGAACAGCCTTTGAGGCCCTACCTGGCTGTCAATGCCTGGTCTTAGGAAACTGGGTGGAATATTCTAGAAAGACGGTATCAGAGGCCCCTTCTGTATCCCTGTTGTTGGAAACAATCTGGTTTGGAAGACTCACAGTGTATTTGCATTCTCTTAGGGCCTGGACATTCTAGACCGAAGCTCTGAGTTGATCCATTCTGGAGAGCTAACCAAAATCACCAGGCAGGGCAAGAGCCAGCAGCGAATCTTCTTCCTTTTCGACCACCAGCTGGTGTCCTGCAAGAAGGACCTGCTGCGCAGGGACATGCTGTACTACAAGGGCCGCATGGACATGGATGAGGTGGAGCTTGTGGATGTGGAGGATGGGCGGGACAAAGACTGGAACCTCAGCATGCGGAATGCCTTCAAGTTGGTCAGCAAAGCCACGGATGAGGTTCATCTGTTCTGTGCTAGAAAGCAAGAAGACAAGGCCAGGTGGCTGCAGGCCTATGCGGATGAGAGGCGGCGGGTGCAGGAGGACCAGCAGATGGGTGAGTCCCCTCAGCCTCCTCCTCCGCTGGCCATTTCTGTCCAGATGCTCCCTCAAGAGCTGAATCTGTGGACAGTGCTGCAGGCATGCGCTCTCTGTAATATTAGCAAAGATGGCCCATAAAGCCCAAGGGTGTGCTTACCTCTCTTAGTAACACTTTACAGATGAGACACTCTTCCAGGATGACCTAGCTTGGTGTGGTTCCAGCGACTGAGCACATGGTGGTAGCACTCGCATGTGTGCTTGCGCGCGCGCGCGCGCACACACACACACACACACACACACACACACACTCCCTCACCCAACCAGGAGAAATATCAGATGATTATCTTTATTTCTTCACATACGTATTTATTTATACTGCATATGAGTATGCGTGTGACATATTTGTTCCTGGTGGGGTGATGCACGTGGAAGTCAGAGAAAGACATCTAGGGACATGCCCTGTCACACTCTGCCTTTTCCATTTGCAAAGGGTCTCACTGAACCTGGAGCTAGGCTGGGAGCCAGCAAGCCCCAGCCGTCAACCTATCTCAATCCTACACAGCATCGGGATTACAAGTGCACACATGAGCACACCAGCTTTTTACACGAGCACTGGGCATTTGAACTCAGGACTGCATACTTGCAGAGCATGCATGCTTTTCCACTCCTGAGAGGTCATCTTCCTAGCCCAGAGTTACCAGAGAGTTGTCAAGGCTTCCCCTTTATCAGCACTGTTGCAAAACACTCTGACATTCACCTCACTGTCTGGGTCAGTTCAGACGCAGTTCCTCCTCTGCTTTCCTCACTGTGGCAACCGCAGAACCTGTACCACATACCAGGGTGAGCCCGAGCTTCTGATCCTCAGTGGTGTACTTGTGTATCTATAATCCTAAGATCAAAATCTCTGAGCATCAACAAGGAAAACTTCACACCTGACACCATGTGAGGGACCCAGTCAAAATGCAGTTGCCCCAAAAGTATATAGTTTGGAATCACCCTCAGGCTGTGTATAAATAAGATAAAGTATCTATGAAACATAACTGAGTCCTGTGTTTAGACTTTGGTCTCATCCCCTAGACACCTTAGGTACTGTGTATGTGGAAGTGTTAGGAAATCTAAAGAGTGGCATGTGTTGGTCCCACACATTTCAGATAAGGGGAGCTTAGCCTGTACTTTGGTTTGTCACCCCAACTTCTGCTGGCCCTTTTTTATTGCATGATCTTGTGAGAAGGAAGCTGCTGTGTGGTATTAACCAGTGCAGTGCTCACGGCTTCTGTGTCCATGCTCCAGAGCCACCCACACAGATTGGGAATGTGAGCGTGCACTGCCCGATGTGAGCTGGGGTGCCCAGAGACCAGGGGTGCACAGGGGCCAGGGGTGCCCAGAGACCAGGGGTGCACAGGGGCCAGGTGGGTGAGAAACACCTGTGTTGCTCAGATCTCAAGGACCATGTGTCTGGTGAAGTATCACCCACTGCTACAGAGCCCAAGGGGCTTTGAGGGTGGTCCCTGTGTCTCCTGTACCAAGTCGCCAGCTTCAGATTAGCCTTAGATTCTGCAGTTGGCCATAGAAAGTGTCCTGGGGTCCCATGTTGCACTTCATTAGGCTATCTTGCCATTAAAAGTAAGAATTTCTTCAGAAACTACCAGAGCTCAGACCAGTGTGACAGCACACAACTCTCAGCCTCACAGATGGGATCTGCTACTCTGTGTGTCTGCCCTTTAGACCCAAGGGAAATCTGGACCCCCGGCAGGCACCATGCATTGGCTGCTGAATGTCTGACCCTGTTGCAATAAGGCGTGCCACAAAATCCTTCTCAAAAGTGTGTAGGTCGCCGGGCGGTGGTGGCGCACGCCTTTAATCCCAGCACTTGGGAGGCAGAGGCAGGTGGATTTCTGAGTTTGAGGCCAGCCTGGTCTACAGAGTGAGTTCCAGGACAGCCAGGGCTACACAGAGAGACCCTGTCTCAAAAAACCAAAAAAAAAAAAAAAAAAAAAAAGTGTGTAGGTCGTTACTGAAACATGAGGTGATGGGGTCACCAGCTCCCGGTTTACTGAGTCATTCTGTACTGTCTGCTGTGGCTAGGAGCACCGAGTTAGAATGTTTGCACTCCTTCCCCTGAGGGTTCATGACAATCACAGAAGAGTCCTGAACACTCAGCTCTGATCTTCCTCTTGTGCATGTTCGTTGCTTTATGTGCTCCTGTGGCAGGTAACCAGTGAGGTCAGGTCCTCATGGTCCCCATGGAACACAACAGCAGTCTCTGCATCTGGGTATGGGGTTGGAAGGAGACCCTTGCCAGTCAGGCACACATTGAGTATGTCACTGCATAAAGGCAGGACAGCAGAGCCAGCCAGGTAGAGTGGGTCCAAGACAGAGACAAGGGTCAATCGAAGCTGCTGAGGTAGAGAGGGACTCAGCTCTGCCACAGTGCAGCCTGGCTCCTCACCTCCCACTTCTGCACCCCACTTCTTACCTCAGGAGAAGCAGCCACCTCAGCAACTGCGGTTGCTCCGCTGCTGTCGTGTCTCTCTCCCAAGCCTCTTTCCTGGTGCAGCTCCTTTCACTTAGTTGGCCTACCACATGTTGACAACATCGCTGTCCACTGCGAAGCCAGGGTGCAGAGTCCCAGTCTGAGGCTTCAGGCAATTGGAATCTCAACCCACAGAGCTCTTGGCACATGTGAGCAGAAGCCCTGAGCCCCTTTGCCTTGAGCTCTCTTCCCAGAGCATCATGCTTTAGACCTTCGATTGGGGTGACTTCCATGTGGACATTGGCCTGGCAGTATCTGTCTTGAGACACCAAGGGTCTGTGTGTCACAACAGTTGTACCTCATATCACTCTCTAAAATATCTGGGCTCAGAGGTCATCATGAAGTACCCGGTGACACTTCTGGCACCCTTCCTTTTCTTCACGTCTCAGGGTTATTCCAGTCTGTAGAGAAGAGAACATCTTAGCACTAGTGTGTGTTCTACAGTTTATTCTGAAAAAGTTTTCCCGGGTTCTGAATGTATACCACTCCTGTTTCCACATCCAGGCATGGAAATCCCAGAAAATCAGAAGAAACTCGCCATGTTGAATGCTCAGAAGGCAGGACATGGGAAATCTAAAGGTAAGGTTGGTGGAGGCTTCACCTCTTTTCTGTGCATCTTGTGATGACCTGGAGTCGTCAACACAGAGCCTTTTTGCAGCTCTGAGTGGAGGGGAAAAGCCAGGGATGCTTAAGGAACAGACCCAAATTGATAGGCAGGTGGAGAGTCTTCTTCAGGTTTAGATTCAGGTGCATGAAATACCTCAGGTAGCAGTAAAGGCCTTCAGGGCTTCTAGTCTGCCAATGTCCTCTGTTCCTCATGGCCTGTGAGGATGATTCCCACTGGGTATCCACTGGTACCCAATGGTACCCACTGAGCCACCAGTCAAGTAACCCCTTGCAACTTTGATTTGAGGAAGAATCTCCAACACCAAAGTGTTTGCCAGCTACAGGTGACTGCACTGCATTCCAGTGAGGTGAGGTCTCAGCTATAGGGGACTGCACTGCGTTCCAGTGAGGTGAGGTCTCAGCTATAGGGGACTGCACTGCATTCCAGTGAGGTGAGGTCTCAGCTATAAGGGACTGCACTACATTCCAATAAGGTAAGGTCTCAGCTATAGGGGACTGCACTACATTCCAATAAGGTAAGGCCTCAGCTATAGGGGACTGCACTGCATTCCAGTAAGGTGAGGTCTCAGCTATAGGGGACTGTACTGCATTACAGTGAGTTGAGGTCTCAGCTATAGGGAACTGTTCTGCATTACAGTGAGTTGAGGTCTCAGCTATAGGGAACTATACTGCATTACAGTGAGGTGAGGTCTCAGCTATAGGGGACTGTACTGCATTACAGTGAGGTGAGGTCCTAACATTCATAGCACCAGGAGATAAGAAGACCCTGGGCTTCTCCTAGAGCACTTTCCCACTCTTGTACATACTAGAATCACTTGGCAGTGACACAGAAGCCTTCATGGCCAGGCCACACCAAGGTCCTAGTGCCCACACTTAGTGTCTCCCCAGGGTAGATAATGCCAATGGATGCTGCCTCATTTCTTCTTGCTACTGTCACTCTCACATTAGAGATTAGGGAACTGAGGCACAGAGAAATCAAAGAATTTCCCTCAAATACTCATGGTCAGCAAGTGTGGGGTGGCATTTGGGCCAAGGGAGAGTTGGCTCTAGGCCTCGGTTCACAACATGTTACTACTTCCAGTCCACATCAGGAAGCCCAGTTCTGAGTCTTCACTGATGTCACTCATGGTGGAAGTTGACCTGCTCCATCCCCTGGGCTTCCTTCTTGGGAGGTTTTGGGTAGGCGTCATGAGGTAACCCTTGCTGGTCCCATACAGGGTAGCTGAATTCTCATTTTGTAGGGCAGTTGTTAGATGTCCCCTTGATTCCTTGGAATTAGCTAAGTACTTTGGGTCCCACTGTAGCTTCCTAGTGACTGGTCTGTTCTTCTGTCCTTCTTGAGTTAGGCTACAACAGCTGCCCCGTGGCCCCGCCCCACCAGAGCCTGCCACCACTTCACCAGCGCCACATCACTGTGCCCACCAGCATCCCACAGCAGCAGGTCTTTGCCTTGGCTGAGCCCAAGAGGAAGCCATCACTATTCTGGCACACCTTCCACAAACTCACCCCCTTCCGGAAATGAGCCTTACCCAGGGTGCACATCTGAGATACTGTGGGGAAGAAGACCAGTTTTGTCTTTTCTGCATGATGTCCAGGGATGGCTTCTTGCCCAGTGCTGAACACTTCATTTGGGAATCCATGAAGGGGAGAAGAAGTTGGACTCAGCTTTGACCTTGAGAGGCCCCAGCATCCTTGTGGAAGGAAGGAGACCATGAAGCACACTGGAAGCCGCACTCTCTGGTGGCCATGATATAAGGGCTGGGGCCTCTCTGCATGGAGACTGCTGACTCAGCTAACCCTGCGCGTTTCCCACTGAGGCCACACTTCGGCTGCAGTTCCAAACAGTATCCGGAGCCTTTCAGCTCCTCAGGAGCAACTACATTAAAGATGGCTTCTGTGTTTGATCTTAAGAAACTCATTGACAGGGGTTGGTAGGATGTTGGCAGACCTGGGATGACGTGGGTCAGGTCAGGTCTGGGAGAGACCATGAAGGAGCTAGAAGCAGCGGGGCCACTGCCCACAGTGCTCCAAGGTGTAGCAGATGCCATGCTAGAGTGTAAGTCTCATCCTGCAAGGTTCCTTATTCACAGGAGAGTCAGGAGGCCCTGTTACCCCGGCAGCGCTGGTGATGACAGCATCCTCAGGGCAGTGCTTCTCTCCAGACTGGAGGGCAGGCTGCCGCCACCTGACTTGTCCCCCTCACTCTTCAAACACAGGTCACACCTCGCTTACCCCTCACAGCCTGAGAACCTGCCATTCACGGACGTAAGGGTACTGTGAAATGTTCTTGACAATATGACACTGTACATCCTCATCAGCCGTTTGCATCACCAGTGAGATGATGAAGACACCGCCACCCACAGAAAAAACAAGGGTCAAAACCGGCCTGCTGCCTGGGGAAATGGAAATGCCTCTGACACATGACCCGAAACAGTACATGACTGTGGCAGCTGGAGAATGGTCTTGATGACTCCTTAGCTCTGAGAGAGCTGTCTCTTAACGAGGGCCACCTGAGCTGAGACCTACAGAGACACCCACAATGTCTGTTGTCACTGTGTTTGTTACTTGATGAAAATGCCTTTTAACTCGATCTAAGGGACACTGGTTCTGCATTTTAATCTACACAGCAGGCTGGCTGGGTGCGTTCCTTTGGACAAGTGAGTTCTTGTGTGCTGTTCTTGCAAGGTTCTCGCCTCTCACCAGCTCTCGCTTGAAAACAAACAAGTCTGCAGTGTCAGAGGTGGAGGTATTGATCCCTTAGCACAGTTCACACTGGCTCCAGGTCTCTGCCTGAAACAAGTGACATCACAGCAAATAACTTTGATCCTGGACCTGGGATTAGCCTCAACCCTGCTGTGCACCCTGGCATGGTCACTTACAGGTCACTTACTGCTGGGAACTGTAGTCAGTGGCCCCACAGCTGTGTCTGTGTGCTATGAAGTGGTTCAAGTGCACAGAGCATGCACTGTGTGTGTGTGTGTGTGTGTGTGTGTGTGTGTGTGTGTGTGTGTGTGTGTG